GAGTCTCTCATGGGTCCCTGTACGGCCTCCCATTGCTGCTGTCTCCTCCATCGCCACACTCTGCTGCCATGTGCCACATGTCACTTTCAGGTCTCTTCACACTGCTGGTGTGTTAAATTTTTTGACATAGGGTGCAGGCAGATTACGGGCCTCACATAGCTGCTGCCAGGCCCCTAATCTGCCATGGGCCCCAATATATACCCCGCCCCTCCTCATGCTGCCCCCAAGTCCAGAGTCTCTCATGGGTCCCTGTACAACGGCCTCCCATTGCTGCTGCTGTCTCCATCGCCACACTCTGCTGCCATGCTGCCATGTGCCACTTTCAGGTCTCCTTCACACTGCTGTGTGGTGTAAAATTTTTTGACATAGGGTGCTGCAAGATAACGGGCCTCACATAGCTGCTGCCAGGCCCCTAATCTGCCATGGGCCCCTATATACCCCCCCCTCCTCATGCTGCTGCCACCCCCAGAGTCTCTCATAAACCCCACCCCCCACCCCCCCCAAAAAAAAAAAACACCAAAACCAAAAACCCCCCCCCCCCCCCCAAACCCAAAAAAACCCCCAAACCCCCCCCCCCCCCCCCCCCACCCCCCCCCCCCCCCCCCCCCCCCCCCCCCCCCCCCCCCCCCCCCCCCCCCCCCCCCCCCCCCCCCCCCCCCCCCCCCCCCCCCCCCCCCCCCCCCCCCCCCCCCCCCCCCCCCCCCCCCCCCCCCCCCCCCCCCCCCCCCCCCCCCCCCCCCCCCCCCCCCCCCCCCCCCCCCCCCCCCCCCCCCCCCCCCCCCCCCCCCCCCCCCCCCCCCCCCCCCCCCCCCCCCCCCCCCCCCCCCCCCCCCCCCCCCCCCCCCCCCCCCCCCCCCCCCCCCCCCCCCCCCCCCCCCCCCCCCCCCCCCCCCCCCCCCCCCCCCCCCCCCCCCCCCCCCCCCCCCCCCCCCCCCCCCCCCCCCCCCCCCCCCCCCCCCCCCCCCCCCCCCCCCCCCCCCCCCCCCCCCCCCCCCCCCCCCCCCCCCCCCCCCCCCCCCCCCCCCCCCCCCCCCCCCCCCCCCCCCCCCCCCCCCCCCCCCCCCCCCCCCCCCCCCCCCCCCCCCCCCCCCCCCCCCCCCCCCCCCCCCCCCCCCCCCCCCCCCCCCCCCCCCCCCCCCCCCCCCCCCCCCCCCCCCCCCCCCCCCCCCCCCCCCCCCCCCCCCCCCCCCCCCCCCCCCCCCCCCCCCCCCCCCCCCCCCCCCCCCCCCCCCCCCCCCCCCCCCCCCCCCCCCCCCCCCCCCCCCCCCCCCCCCCCCCCCCCCCCCCCCCCCCCCCCCCCCCCCCCCCCCCCCCCCCCCCCCCCCCCCCCCCCCCCCCCCCCCCCCCCCCCCCCCCCCCCCCCCCCCCCCCCCCCCCCCCCCCCCCCCCCCCCCCCCCCCCCCCCCCCCCCCCCCCCCCCCCCCCCCCCCCCCCCCCCCCCCCCCCCCCCCCCCCCCCCCCCCCCCCCCCCCCCCCCCCCCCCCCCCCCCCCCCCCCCCCCCCCCCCCCCCCCCCCCCCCCCCCCCCCCCCCCCCCCCCCCCCCCCCCCCCCCCCCCCCCCCCCCCCCCCCCCCCCCCCCCCCCCCCCCCCCCCCCCCCCCCCCCCCCCCCCCCCCCCCCCCCCCCCCCCCCCCCCCCCCCCCCCCCCCCCCCCCCCCCCCCCCCCCCCCCCCCCCCCCCCCCCCCCCCCCCCCCCCCCCCCCCCCCCCCCCCCCCCCCCCCCCCCCCCCCCCCCCCCCCCCCCCCCCCCCCCCCCCCCCCCCCCCCCCCCCCCCCCCCCCCCCCCCCCCCCCCCCCCCCCCCCCCCCCCCCCCCCCCCCCCCCCCCCCCCCCCCCCCCCCCCCCCCCCCCCCCCCCCCCCCCCCCCCCCCCCCCCCCCCCCCCCCCCCCCCCCCCCCCCCCCCCCCCCCCCCCCCCCCCCCCCCCCCCCCCCCCCCCCCCCCCCCCCCCCCCCCCCCCCCCCCCCCCCCCCCCCCCCCCCCCCCCCCCCCCCCCCCCCCCCCCCCCCCCCCCCCCCCCCCCCCCCCCCCCCCCCCCCCCCCCCCCCCCCCCCCCCCCCCCCCCCCCCCCCCCCCCCCCCCCCCCCCCCCCCCCCCCCCCCCCCCCCCCCCCCCCCCCCCCCCCCCCCCCCCCCCCCCCCCCCCCCCCCCCCCCCCCCCCCCCCCCCCCCCCCCCCCCCCCCCCCCCCCCCCCCCCCCCCCCCCCCCCCCCCCCCCCCCCCCCCCCCCCCCCCCCCCCCCCCCCCCCCCCCCCCCCCCCCCCCCCCCCCCCCCCCCCCCCCCCCCCCCCCCCCCCCCCCCCCCCCCCCCCCCCCCCCCCCCCCCCCCCCCCCCCCCCCCCCCCCCCCCCCCCCCCCCCCCCCCCCCCCCCCCCCCCCCCCCCCCCCCCCCCCCCCCCCCCCCCCCCCCCCCCCCCCCCCCCCCCCCCCCCCCCCCCCCCCCCCCCCCCCCCCCCCCCCCCCCCCCCCCCCCCCCCCCCCCCCCCCCCCCCCCCCCCCCCCCCCCCCCCCCCCCCCCCCCCCCCCCCCCCCCCCCCCCCCCCCCCCCCCCCCCCCCCCCCCCCCCCCCCCCCCCCCCCCCCCCCCCCCCCCCCCCCCCCCCCCCCCCCCCCCCCCCCCCCCCCCCCCCCCCCCCCCCCCCCCCCCCCCCCCCCCCCCCCCCCCCCCCCCCCCCCCCCCCCCCCCCCCCCCCCCCCCCCCCCCCCCCCCCCCCCCCCCCCCCCCCCCCCCCCCCCCCCCCCCCCCCCCCCCCCCCCCCCCCCCCCCCCCCCCCCCCCCCCCCCCCCCCCCCCCCCCCCCCCCCCCCCCCCCCCCCCCCCCCCCCCCCCCCCCCCCCCCCCCCCCCCCCCCCCCCCCCCCCCCCCCCCCCCCCCCCCCCCCCCCCCCCCCCCCCCCCCCCCCCCCCCCCCCCCCCCCCCCCCCCCCCCCCCCCCCCCCCCCCCCCCCCCCCCCCCCCCCCCCCCCCCCCCCCCCCCCCCCCCCCCCCCCCCCCCCCCCCCCCCCCCCCCCCCCCCCCCCCCCCCCCCCCCCCCCCCCCCCCCCCCCCCCCCCCCCCCCCCCCCCCCCCCCCCCCCCCCCCCCCCCCCCCCCCCCCCCCCCCCCCCCCCCCCCCCCCCCCCCCCCCCCCCCCCCCCCCCCCCCCCCCCCCCCCCCCCCCCCCCCCCCCCCCCCCCCCCCCCCCCCCCCCCCCCCCCCCCCCCCCCCCCCCCCCCCCCCCCCCCCCCCCCCCCCCCCCCCCCCCCCCCCCCCCCCCCCCCCCCCCCCCCCCCCCCCCCCCCCCCCCCCCCCCCCCCCCCCCCCCCCCCCCCCCCCCCCCCCCCCCCCCCCCCCCCCCCCCCCCCCCCCCCCCCCCCCCCCCCCCCCCCCCCCCCCCCCCCCCCCCCCCCCCCCCCCCCCCCCCCCCCCCCCCCCCCCCCCCCCCCCCCCCCCCCCCCCCCCCCCCCGGTTTACGGAAAATTTTTTGACATAGGTGCTGGCAGATTACGAACCTCCCCATAGCTGCTGCCAGGCCCCATAATCTGCCATGGGCCCCTATACCGCTCCTGCCCCCCCGAAGCTGGGCCCTGTTAAGGTTCCACAGCTGTGTCATGCCATGGTGCCACTTTCAGGTCCTCCACACTCCGCTGGATTCCATTTTGTCATAGGATGCTGGCAGATTACGGGCGTCTCCCATTGCTGCGGCCAGGCCCCTAATGTGCCATGGGCCCCTGTACAGCCTCCTCATGCTGCTGCCAGGTCCACAGTGTGTCATGCCATGTGCCACTTTCAGGTCTCCTCACACTCCTGCTGGATTCCATTTTGTCATAGGATGCTGGCAGATTACGGGGCCTCCCATTGCTGCGGCCAGGCCCCCTAATGTGCCATGGGCCCCTGTACCGCCTCCTCACGCTGCTGCCAGGTCCACAGTGTGTCATGGGTCCCTGTAGGCCGCTCCCATTGCTGCTGTCTCCATCGCCACACTCTGCCATGCCACTTTCAGGTGTCCTCACACTCCTGCTGGATTCCATTTTGTCATAGGATGCTGGCAGATTACGGGCCTCCCATTGCTGCGGCCAGGCCCCTAATGTGCCATGGGCCCCTGTAACCCGCCATCCTCCTCACGCTGCTGCCTCCAGGTCCACAGTGTGTCATGGGTCCCTGCCAGGCCTCCCATTGCTGCTGTCTCCATCGCCACACTCTGCCATGTGCCACTTTCAGGTGTCCTCACACTCCTGCTGGATTCCATTTTGTCATAGGATGCTGGCAGATTACGGGCGTCTCCCATTGCTGCGGCCAGGCCCCTAATGTGCCATGGGCCCCTGTACCGCCTCCTCCTGCATGCTGCTGCCAGGTGTCCACAGTGTGTCATGCCATGTGCCACTTTCAGGTGTCTCCTCACACTCCTGCTGGATTCCATTTTGTCATAGGATGCTGGCAGATTACGGGCGTCTCCCATGCATTGCTGCGGCCAGGCCCCTAATGTGCCATGGGCCCCTGTACCGCCTCCTCATGCTGCTGCCAGGTCCACAGTGTGTCATGCCTGCCACTTTCAGGTGTCCTCACACTCTCCTGCTGGATTCCCATTTTGTCATAGGATGCTGGCAGATTTACGGGCCTCCCATTGCTGCGGCCAGGCCCCTAATGTGCCATGGGCCCCTGGCCTCCTCATGCTGCTACCGCCTCCTCAGTGTGCATGTCCCCCTGTACCACCCCCAGTGCTGTGTCATGCCATGTGCCACTTTCAGGTGTCCTCACACTGCTGCTGGATTCCCTTTTTGTCATAGGATGCTGGCAGATTACGGGCGTCTCCCATTGCTGCGGCCAGGCCCCTAATGTGCCATGGGCCCCTGTACCCGCCTCCTCATGCTGCTGCCAGGTCCACAGTGTGTCATGCCATGTGCCACTTTCAGGTGTCCTCACACTCCTGCTGGATTCCATTTTGTCATAGGATGCTGGCAGATTACGGGGTCTCCCATTGCTGCGGCCAGGCCCCTAATGTGCCATGGGCCCCTGTACCGCCTCCTCACTGCTGCTGCCAGGTCCACAGTGTGTCATGGGTCCCTGTACCGCCTCCCATTGCTGCTGTCTCCATCGCCACACTCTGCCATGTGCCACTTTCAGGTCTCCTCACACTCCTGCTGGATTCCATTTTGTCATAGGATGCTGGCAGATTACGGGCGTCTCCCATTGCTGCGGCCAGGCCCCTAATGTGCCATGGGCCCCTGTACCGCCTCCTCATGCTGCTGCCAGGTCCACAGTGTGTCATGCCATGTGCCACTTTCAGGTGTCCTCACACTCCTGCTGGATTCCATTTTGTCATAGGATGCTGGCAGATTACGGGCGTCTCCCATTGCTGCGGCCAGGCCCCTAATGTGCCATGGGCCCCTGTACCCGCCTCCTCGCTGCTGCCAGGTCCACAGTGTGTCATGCCATGTGCCACTTTCAGGTGTCTTTCAGGTCCTCCTCACACTCCTGCTGGTTCCATTTTGCATAGGATGCTGGCAGATTACGGGCGTCTCCCATTGCTGCGGCCAGGCCCCTAATCTGCCATGGGCCCCTGTACCGCCTCCTCACGCTGCTGCCAGGTCCACAGTGTGTCATGGGTCCCTGTACCGCCAGGCCTCCCATTGCTGCTGTCTCCATCGCCACACTCTGCCATGTGCCACTTTCAGGTCTCCTCACACTCCTGCTGGATTCCATTTTGTCATAGGATGCTGGCAGATTACGGGCGCCTCACATTGCTGCGGCCAGGCCCCTAATGTGCCATGGGCCCCTGTACCGCCTCCCTGCTGCTGCCAAGTCCACAGTGTGTCATGGGTCCCTGTACCGCCTCCCATTGCTGCTGTCTCCATCGCCACTCTGCCATGTGCCACTTTCAGGTGTCCTCACACTCCTGCTGGATTCCATTTTGTCATAGGATGCTGGCAGATTACGGGCCTCCCATTGCTGCGGCCAGGCCCCTAATCTGCCATGGGCCCCTGTACCGCCTCCTCACGCTGCTGCCAGGTCCACAGTGTCTCATGGGTCCCTGTACCGACCTCCCATGCTGCTGTCTCCATCGCCACACTCTGCCATGTGCCACTTTCAGGTCTCCTCACACTCCTGCTGGGTTCCATTTTGTCAT